CTGGAACACACTCTTACAGAACAGGAGAATGAGAAGACATGTACACAAATACTTATGATCTAGATGGAGGATTAAGGAGGCAAAGGGGAGGGCAAGACAGTGTTCTATGACAAATGTGAATAATGAGTGAAGTTTCCTTTGGGAGGCACAGGTGGTCTGGAAAGTTTTCATTTGGTCTTGGCCCTAACCCAGCCCTTGCTCTGTACATCTCTAATGTACTTATTATGTATTATTGTGTATTTTGCTTATCTATCTGTTATGCTCCACCAGACTGTCAGCCTTACAGAGCTCAACACATAGCAGACTCTTAACAGACGTTTGCTGAATTGAATTTGCTGAACTGTATCAAAATAAACTCCTTTGAGAAGCCACAACTTCTTAGAAGGCCAGTGTATAGAACCCTGTAAAGTACCAGGATACTGTTAATGAAGGAGATGAATACAGAACAAACTTGTTTCCTATTCAAAGAAAATGTCATTTTTAACGTCTATACTTGGGAAATTAACCTAAAGAAAATGTCATTTTTAATGTATATACTTGGGAAATTAACCTGAGACCTTTTGATGATGGTATTTTCAATCTTTTAAATGAAAGTTAAGGACTTTTTGGAAGACAAAGGGCAGGAAAAAACATTGGATATGTAAATGATGTCAAAGAATAAGCTGTTATTTTTGTTGAAAATGGCTTAACCCCAACGATGAGCTCTTGACCGGGGGGAGAGAGGATACTTCACAAAGATTAGGAAGAAAAAGGGTGGCTAGAGATTTGACCAAGGGGCAGCTAGGTGGTGCAGTGGATAGAGCACTGGCCCTGAAGTCAGGAGAACCTGAGTTCAAATCCAGCCTCAGACCAAACACTTGACACTTACTTAGCTGTGTGACCCTGGGCAAGTCACTAAACCCCAACTGCCAAAAAAAGAAAAAAAAAAGAGAGATTTGATCAAGATGAGTTTAAATTGGAAATGGAGGGCAAAGGAGAAAAATGCCCAGAAAAGATTAAGTATAATGTAGAAAACATAGGTATATGTCCAATAATTCTCAGCATAAAAGGACTTTGAAGAGTGTCAGAAATAATACTTTATAGTCACATGGCAAGACATAGGACCTAGGTATTATACAAAATGAACCTGAAATTTTAATATAATAGGCAAATATGATCTCAAGGGTCTTATCAGAATTTGGTAGGAGGATCTTGTGGCAATGGAAAGGTATGCTATATACCATGGGTTCCTAATCTTTTTTTACGTCACAGACAACTCCTCCTCCTCCTCCTCTTCTGACAGTCTGGTGAAGTCTATGAAAATATTATCCTTAGAATATTTTAAAAATATATTAAAAAAGTTCCAGCCCCACATTATGAACCTTTGCTATAGACAAAAGGGTTTCCCAAAGGCACTTAGTATCTTTACATTGTATCCTTGTGTATGAGACATGTAAGCTGGATGGTGGTAGAGGGAAGCCAGGTTAGTGGAAAACACAATGGATCTGGAGGTAGCAGACCTTGGTATGAATCCTAATTCTGATACTTTGGAGCTGTTTAAACATGGACAAGCATTTTACCTTTGAACATCAGTTTTCTTGTTTACCAGATGAAGATTAAACTTGTACTATCTTCCTCATAGGCTGTTGAAAGGAAACTGGTTTACAAACCATAAAGTATTGTTATAAATGTCAGTAATCATCGCTACAGTGGAATGGATTCATAACTGGCTGTGTGACTACACCCCCCCAAAGTGCTGATGATATTTGGCATTAATCTGGAAGGGAGTCTCCGGTGGCATGCCACAAGGCTCTCGTTGGCCCTGTTCTGTTCAATACTTTGACAACCTGAAGTCGTAGATAACACGCTTATCAACTATAACAAAACCAACAAGCTAAATGATGGATTAGGATCCCACAGGATCTTCACAGCTTTGAATGGATATTCAATATAGCTGCATATAACAATCAAATTTTATAATGATAAATGTAAAGTCCTGTACTCATTAAAAAAAATCGAATGCATAGTATAAGATGGGAAGGATGTATAGCCTAACATTCTCTGATTCATATGAATAAATTTTGAGGTTTTATAAAGTGCTTTGCACACATTACTTCATTGTTTCTTCACAACATTCCTGAGGCAGGCACTGCAGGCATTATCCCCACTTTACAGATAAAGAAACTGAGTCCAAAGGAAAGCTGTAGATGGATGTGCCCCTAAAGGGGAGAGGAGCTGTCTTTCTTTTGGCTCTGCTCCCTTTACAGCCTACTAGAAGGGCAGAGCTTGCTCTACAAGAGTGTTTCCTATGAGCTCAAAAAGCCAGTCCTCTGTCATGAATCACAGAGGCCAATAAGGAGATGCTGGAGGTGTTATCTCACAAAATACAACACATGCCCTCGGGCAAGGGGCCAGACTGCACAACTAGCTTCAGGGAAAGCAGTCCAGAAAATCAGGGGCTCCCTGTATTGCCCCAGTGACTTTTAATATAAATTTCATCTAGAATATAGAGCACACTAAGTATAATATTCACAAAATAAACAAAACCTGCTTATTACATCTATGCACCAACTCCAAAACATGTCAATCTGCAAAAGGCTCAACAAAAATGGCTGCTGTATTTAAAGGGAAACTGCCTTTATGAATCTCCCAACCTCCCAAAGCATGATCAGTGTAAATGCTCGGTGCCACGATCCCTCACAATGAAGTTGCTGTACTTAACTGCAAGCAAAAAATGTTCAAGAACCACTGACCTAGCTCAACCCCTTCAGAATTTCCTTACAATGAGAGGTATAAAAAAATGGGAGACCTGTGCAAGTAATGAGCTCCTCATCACTACATCTTCTCAGCAGAAGCCACGTTACTAGCTCTAGGCAGAGGCGACTTCCATCAATAAATCTCATAGAATCAATTAACTTAGGTGGGAACAAAAATTACACCTTTATATCAATATGCTTAATTTCCTTTATGATCCAGTATTTTATTTTAAGCACTTAAAAGCATTATTCTGAGAAGGAAGGAAACAAGCATTTATTAAGCACCTACTCTGTGCCAGGTATTATACTAAGTACTTTTATGACTATCTCACTTGGTCCCCATGACAACGCTGGGAAGCAGGTACTATTTTTACACCCATTTTACACATGAAGAAACTAAGGCAGAAGTTGGGTAACTTGCCCAGGATCACACAACTAGTAAGTGTCTGGGGCCTGAATCTGAACTTAGGTCTTCCTGACTCCAGGCCCAGCGCTCTACCCATTTCACCACCTAACTGCCTTTGGGGTCCACAGGCTTTTCCAGACTGCCAAAGAGACCCATGACACCAAGAACACTGGCTCTAAGGGAAGTTACAAGAAACTCCTGTTTTTGTGATGATTTCTAAATTCTCTTCCAAATCTAAAAAACCATGACTTTTCTACAAACTCAAATTAAAATATTCAAATACTTATTAAGTGCTTACTATATGTAAGGCATTTGACCTCCAATATCACTGTCTACAACTATCTGATTTTATAACACTAGGCTTTATAGTGCTTTTCTCACAAACCCTCTATAGGAGAGGTAGAGTAAGTATTAATATCAGATTTTATAAATAGGAAACTGAGGCCCAGAGAGGCCAAAGTGGCCATTCTTAGAACCAGGACTCGGAACTTGAGTCCAAGTTCTAAGTCCTCTTGCCAGAGTTTACTTTTTTTCTTCCTACCAAAAAGCCCCTTGATATGTGAAGTCTGTCTCCTCTGCAGGACCTCCTCCTTTGTGCCCCCTATCCCACTTCTAACCAAGAAATGCTCCATCTGGGACTCAATGACGCTGCTCTCAAAACGATGATCTTGCTTTTCAGAGACACACAGATGTGTCAGCGCTAACATTCTCTCATGACGTAATCTGAGGCTGCTTCTGGCTTAAAGCGTGCCCACCTTCTGTTGGCCAGCAAGCGAAGAATCAAACAAAACCCTGAACACTTCTGAGAAGAGTGGCCAGTAGGTGCTAACAGTCCGTTGCTTGACTTGTGGTTTATAAAGCTAAGCTTCCTCCCTGGAGGACAGTATAGGCAGCACAATGTGGCCAAGAAGGGGGTGGCAATGTGTGGATTTACCTTGTGGCCCACGCAAATCACTGAGCTCTAAGACAATTGTTTACCTCTTTAACCACATCTGAAGAAAGTAAAGACAATTACAGAAGCTTAGTTTAGGAATGGATGTCTGAGGTTATCTCCTGCTCCACACAGGGATCCTCTCTACAGTACCCCTTACAGCCAGCCAGCTAGAATGACTGCCATGACAGGAATTTCACTACCTGATAAGCCAACCCATTCTACTGATGAACAAATCCAGATGTCAGAAGTTAACTACATAGTCCAAGAGATACTTTTTTCTTATAAATGAACCGAAACCTGACCCACTTGAACTTTTACAAATTGGGCCCTAATTAGCCAAGGGTATGCCAAGGGTGTGCTAGTAAAGCCTTAACAAAAGGCTCTCTCTAAAAAAAAAAAAATTTAAAAAAAGGACCTCCACCATTTTTAAGTTTAATCAGCATTACTAACATTTTTAAATCTGGACCATCAACAGACAATAAATAAAACTCCAATTTGTAACTGTTTGCTGATTTCTAGGGTATAAGTACTTGCACTGAAAATCAGCTCTTATAGAGAGGTTCAAGTTGGCTCGGCCCATGTTTCCAAATTCAAATATTTGAAGATGGCTAATCCTTCTCTTCTCTAAATTAACCATCTCAAGTGCCTTAAATTGTTCCCCTAATGACAAGATTCCCAGAACCCTGACTACGCTGTTCATCCTCTTTGAGCACAGATTGTCAATATTCTTCTGACACTGCGGTGCCCAGAAGTAAACACAACAGGGACGATGTGTTCTGACTAGGATGGAGGACAGGGAGAATATTACTTCCTGTGGTCTGGCCACTCTCCTTCTGTGAAGGCAGCCCAAGATGCTATCAGTGGCATTTTCTGAATTATAAATAACAGGCCAGCAAGATATTCCTCATAAGAAAGCCCTTTATACCATTGAAATTGCGGATAAGTTTTGCTTCTTTTTCTCCATCATCATCTAATCCTTCAGCCTTCATTTTTTTCCAGTTGAGTTCATCCTTTTCTTGCATCTTCAGATCAACATTGAGCTCTGACATTTTTACAGGAGAAAAATGAAGCTGTGAAATGAAAACACAGAAAGATTTGATAACCAGCTGTAGTTTAACCAGGCACGCAATATGTTTGGCACTGCTGCTAAACTATGCTAGCTTGGGAGAAAATTGATAGTGGATGAAATTTTATAACAGATATTGAAAGATTAGAAGAAAAATATGAATTTACTGTCACAGGCAATACATTTCAAAAGCACCTAGACACTGCAGTGATTGAAGCAAAACAAATATATAACAGAAAATAAAATCAGGATACTGGAAAGGGTGCAATCTGCGCAACTCTCTTCACATCCTAAACTAACAATGTCAGATAAGCTTACCCCAGGGAAGATCTTGAGGCCCACCCCAAAGTGATGGCTATGTGGCTGTATTCACAAGTACGGGTTTCAGATGGACAGTTTTTCTCCTAACATTTTCAAGGAGAATTTTTGGTATGGTATAGTTCTGTTGACTTGCAGAAGGGAATTTAGCTGTTAATTTTCTAGGTGACTACTAACTATTCACATATATGCTGATATGGTTACTGTATCAGATAAATGTAGGAAGCAGGCTCTTTCTTGAATTTGATTCTAGAAATGAAGAAAAGGGGACATATAGTGACAGTTCCTGATCAGTCAGTTAACTGGCATTTATTAAGCTCCTACTATGGACACAGTCCTACTGTGCTAAGCACTGCGGATGAAGAGAAAGGTAAAAGACAGTCCCCGCTCTCAGGAGCAACAACATGCAAACAGTTATGTCTGAACAGGAGATCACCTCAGAGGAATGGCTCTCTGATGAAGGAAGCCTGGGAAAGCCTCCCGGGAAGGCGTCCTTCAAAGGGAGGGTGCACACTCCCTGTTCTAGGGCAAGCCTAGGATACAGCTCCCCTTTACACACTTTCCTGGCTCTTCTCAGATAAGGATGAATTCCAGCTCTCCTCCACTGCTGATGAGGCAAATTCCCACCCAGCAGGAAGCTGACACCTTGGAGGAGACAAGAAGGCCACTGGGCACATCCCTGTCTTCCTGCTGCTGCTTAGTACAGTGCCATCTCGAAGGTGTTTTCAGACACTCACAGAATGACAGCATGCAGGTGTTGTTTGGATGAGATGCACCGAAATGGGACAAAATTCATTTCTTCTCTAAAGGGACTACTGGCTTTGTATGTCCACGGTGATCACAAGCATTTACTCAATGAATGAATGGAGCCTTGCCTTAGATTCTTCCTTGGAGATAAATCCAGAAGAGCACAGGCCCTGGAACCAGAGGATCTGCATTTGAATCCTGGCTTTGCTGCCTACTACCCCTGAGACCTTGGCCAAGTCACCGAGATTCCAGAAGGTCTCAGTCTCTCCATCTGTAAGATGAGGGTCTTGGACCGCATGGCCTCTGAGATACCTTCTAGTTCTAAATCTACGATCCTACGATAGTTCTTTTCACTTTGGGGAGACTTCTTACTCCCTCTCCTCAGGAAGTTAACAATCCAGTCTTCTATGCTTCACATGCCATTCTGGTCACTGTACTGACATAGTAAAAACATACACCCTTTTGTGTTGTGCTCTGCTGTTCTCTCAAGTCAGTCAAAGGTCAGTATCTCTAACTGAAACACAACAAAACCAAAATCAGGGGCAAGCTACAGGGAAAAGAGCTACCAACCCTCTGCTGGGCAAGCAAATCCTTCTCTGCTTTTCCACTATCACAAATGATCAAGGTGAAAATTGGGGCACTGAGAGGCGCTGTACAGGGCACACAATGTAGTGTAAAAAGTGCTGGACTGGAGGTGAAGATGACCTGGGTTCAAATCTTAGATCTGCCTCTTATTTCTACGTGACCCTCAGCAAGGCCTCTGTTTCCTTATCTGTAAAGAAAGGGAGGATGGAAAGCATGGACTTCCAGGTCCCTTTCATATCTAAATCTATGATTCTACAATCTTCCTGGGCCTCAGTTTCTGAAAAAAAAAAGAAAACCAAGCAGTTGAGATCAATGATCTTTCAGTTTTAAATCCCACGAGTCTATGAGAGTAGCAAATTAAAGAAATGCTACATTTCATTCATAAATCCATCAAATACTAAAATATTAGCTTATCAGTGTGGGTTGTATTTATTTTAATGACACAGAGTTTGCAGGAGATCACCTGGCTGGTAGCTTTCAGGGATCCTCTCCATTGCTGGAGACCACGGAACCTTCTCATCCAAAGGCTGCATGAAGAACAATAAGGCGTCTACAGCAAAGGCAGTCACTGTCTCCCTCTACTTGGACAGACTACCTCTAGAATACTGGGCACTGTCCTGGTGAGCTCCTTGGGCCTTGGAAGAGGGTCATTTAGCACAGCCACTGGCCAGTCTGCCTCTGAGCTCTTTTCTTGAGAAAGGAATGGCTCTTGTATCAAGGCAAATGCTCTAGTTCCTGGTGTAGCAATTTTTGCGAATGCTGAGTGGCACAGCTATATATAAAGCTCATGATAACAATGTGACATTATGTGCCCATGAATACATTTTGGTGATTGTCAATTTAATCCTAAATCTGTGTTCTAAATAAACCAAAGCAGATAGAGAAAACATTTTTGTTTTGTTTTTAATCAAGAATTGAGATTTATCCTGGTTCCCTTTTGTCTGGAACAACCAACACTTCCTGTCTCTACTAAGAATTTTCCCTGAATTTGCCCACTTCGATCTTCCACATGCTGCTCCATCTGCAGAGGGACGTCTGCTAACGCCTCTGCAGAAGCAGGGAAAGCTGATACCTGACTGAATCAATGCATAAATATTTATTGAGCATCTACAATGCAGAAAGCACAGCTATGCATTCTGAGGAATAAAAAGTGGCATAAGATACAATTCCCTACTCTTACGGTGTTTCAAATCTAGCTGGAGAGAGAAAATATATAGAGCTGAAAAACACTAACACCACAAGGCAGTAAATGAAAATAAGGATGCACTTCCTGCTGCTAAAAGCAACCATGTCAGGCATCCTTTCCAATGCTGATGACAGGATTTCACTGCTTGACTGGAAGCTACCTTAAGAAAGCCAACAGATCTCTTGGCCAGTTACTGTGAACAGCACTTGGCCCACCCAACCTTGGTCAGCACTCACCAACACTTAAATAGTCAAGCTGAAATGATCCCAGTTAAAACACCAATTCATTCAGCTAGCCATAGACATGTTTTAGTGCTCTCCTCTCTTCCTGAGAGGGCTGTCAGGATTCAGTTCTCCTTAAACTCACATGTTCCAGAGGGGCTACACTTAAGCTCTTCTAGAAAGGAAGGAGCTGGTGAATAAAACTGGCTCTTACCTTTTCTTACTAACTTACTCACCTCCTCTGACATACTTTGAGGCCTCACACAAGTTACAAAAATGTTTTAAAGTTCAACTCCAATGTCAGTCCTTTCACATACTTTTTCCCTGCTCACTTGTAAATTCCCAGTGTGTGCTGTGTATTTCTCTAGTGCACTGGCCACGCATTATGGGGCACAAGGCAAGGCTGCCTGTGCATTTGCCTTTTTTTTTTGGCTAGGCAGTGGGGTTTAGTGACTTGCCCGGGGTCACACAGCTAGTAAGTGTTACGTGTCTGAGGCTGCGTTTGAACTCAGGTCCTCCTGACTCCAGGGCCGGTGCTCTATCCACTATGCCACCTAGCTGCCCCTGCATTTGCATTAGCCTTCTATACACCTGAGGCTTGCTCTCTGACCACAAGGACCACTTCTTTAAATAAATCTTCTATCCTCCCTCTTACTGCACCTAGTGCTGCTTTGTAGGTGTTGAATAAAGGGTTGTTGTTGACTTTTAAAAAATCTACTTATGTTTACATGGCTTTTCAGGATTATGGAGCACTTTCACATTCATTGTTTCATTTAATACTCACAGGAACCCTATGACGGAGGCAGGGCAGGTATTATTATCTCTATTTTGTGAATAGGAAAACTGAGGCTGAGGTGAAGTGACTCACTAAAGGTCACCGAGCTAATTTAAGTGGTGATGCCAGGATGTAAACATCTGCCTCCAAATCTCGTTGTATTAAATTGTACTGCACTGCTATTTCATGAGAAGTGCTAGATGAGTGCTCAAAGGCAGATAGGGGAAAGAGATCACCTGCAGATGGGATCTTCAGGAATGGTTTTGCTAGAAGGGGAAGAACCTGGGCTAGGCCTTAGAAGAGCAGGGTTTGTACAGCAGAGGGGCATCCAAGGCAGGAAAATGCAACACAGGCTTGGGCCAAGCAGAATTCGACATAGCTGCCAAGTATGAAACCCTTCTGGTCTATCGATTTATACTATATAACAATTTTAAAATCTGATTTTAACTGATTTTCATTCTGGTTTGCAAAAGCCTCCAGATCGTGTTCCCTGACTGATAAGCAGACTTGCGATAATGAAGCCCAATTTATTTCAATTTCCTGTTCTCATCCTAATTCCCCATATACTGGAAAAATACTGCTTTTATTATTATTATCATTATTATTAGGGTCTCTGTAATTAAATAACATCTTACCTGATGCCCTACATAAACAATTTAGTTTTGTGAATCACGGAGATGGGAAGCGAAGCCTGCAGTCCATCGTCCAGAATGTGAAGTACATAGTGGGCAGCAGCCACGAAGCTTGCACACATTTACAAGAGCCATGCCCTAAGCTGGGGAGTGAGCAAGCCTTTAATATTACCAACTATCTCTCAAAGCATCAAAAGTTCGTTGTAGGAGCTACACAGGACACACCTGAACTCTGTCTGAGCTTTTTCCTGATAGGGTAATTGATGTCAGGGAACCATAAAGGGAAAAGGGGAGGACTTCCCTCTTCCTTTGGAACATCATGATCTTCCTTTTGAACATTTGGAGTTGGAAGAGACCTTGGCTGCTATTAATCCGACCCAAACCCCACAGAATGCCTTCCATACACATCTGACAAATGGTCATGTGGATTCAATGAGGGGGAACTTTCTGCCTCCAGGGACTGTCTATTTCACTCTTGGACAGCAGCTCTAAACGTTGGAAAGTCCTTCCTTACATCAAGCCTAAATTTGCCTCTTTGAT